TTTCAGCATAATACTTTAATTTTTAAAAAAATCATTAAGGAGGCCAGGTGCAGTGGCTCACTCCTGTAATGCCAGCACTTTGGGAGGCCAAGATGGGCAGATCACCCGAGTTCAGGAGTTCAAGACTAGTCTGACCAACAAGGTAATAAAACCCCATCTCTACTAAAAATGCAAAAATTAGCTGGGCATGATGGCAGGCACCTATAATCCCAGCTACTTGGTAGGCTGAGGCAGGAGAATCACTTGACCCCAGGAGGCAGAGGTTGCAGTGAGCTGAGATTGTGCCTATGCACTCCAGCCCAGGCAACAGAGCAAGACTGTTTCAAAAAAAAAAAAAAAAAAAAAAAAATCATTAAAACAGTGAAACCTATACATAGAACATACTACTGAAACACTTCACCCAGACAAAGCTTAACTCTATGGCAGACTTTGTATTTGGAAAAAACACAAAATAGACCTTCAGTAGTTAAAATAAAAAGATCATAAACTTCATTCTTTTTTTAGAGATGGAGTCTCACTACATTGCCCTGGCCAGTCTTGAACTCCTGGACTCAAGAGACCCTCCCGGCTTGGCCTCCCAAACTGTTGGGATTACAGGTATGAGCTACCACGCCTGGCCATAAACTTCATTCTTTAGAATAAGAACCCAGCCCCGTCTCTATTTCCTTTCACTCTGTACAGAGTTCTAGAATTTTCTTTTAAGAGATGATTTTGCTGCCCAGGCTGGAGTGCAGTATTCACAGGCACAACCACAGCTAGCACACTACAACCTCCAACCTCTGGACTCAAACCATCTTCCTGCCTCAGATTCCTGGGTAGCTATGATGAGACTACAGGCATATATCACTCCATCTGACTTACAATTCTTTCACTTCATCTTATCACCTTTTATACCAAAATGGTTGCACGCCCTTGAAGAGAAAACTTCAGAATCCAAGCCATTGCAATCACATGCCACATAAAGTTTCAGTCAACAACCGACTGCAGACACAAAGGTAGCCCCATAAGATTATAATAGAGGCCGGGCGCGGTGGCTCAAGCCTGTAATCCCAGCACTTAGGGAGGCCGAGACGGGCAGATCACGAGGTCAGGAGATCGAGACCATCCTGGCTAACACGGTGAAACCCCGTCTCTACTAAAAATGCAAAAAACTAGCCGGGCGAGGTGGCGGGCGCCTGTAGTCCCAGCTACTTGGGAGGCTGAGGCAGGAGAATGGCGTGAACCCGGGAGGCGGAGCTTGCAGTGAGCTGAGATCCGGCCACTGCACTCCAGCCCGGGCTACAGAGCAAGACTCCGTCTCAAAAAAAAAAAAAAAAAAAAAAAAAAAAAGATTATAATAGAGATGAAAAGTTCCTATTACCTAGTGACACTGTAGTCCAATTACTTTATTTTTTTAACATTAATTTAGAGTAGACTAAGTATACACCGTTTATAACGTCTACAGTAGTGTACAGTGATGTCTCAGGCCTTCACATTCACTCACCACTCACTCACTGACTTACCAGAGCAACGTCCAGTCCTAAAAGTTCCATTCACAGTAAGTGCCCTATACAGGTGTACCATTTCTTATCTTTTATACTGTATTTGTATTGTACCTTTTCTATGTTTAGATGAAGCTTGCCCAATGCACAGCCAGTGGGCCGCATGTGGCCTAGGTCAGCTTTGAGTTACTTTTTTTTTTCTTTTTGTGAAGAATGGGGTCTCACTTTATCACCCAGGGAGGCCTCGAACTCCTGTGTTCAAGCTATCCTCCCACCTCTGTCTCCCTAAGAGCTGGGATTACAGGCATGAGACACCGCACCTGGTCCCCAGAACACCTTTGAATGCAACCCAACAGAAATGCGTTAACTTTCTTAAAACATTATGAGGTTTTTTTTCCTCAGCTTATCAGCTGTCGTTAGTGTATTTTATGTGTGGCCCAAGACAATTTATCTTCTTCCAATGCGGCCCAGGGAAGCCAAAAGATTGGACACCCCTGGTTTAGATACACAAGTATTTACTATCGTCTTACAACTGCCTACAGTACTCAGTAAAGTAACATGCTGTACGAGTTTGTAGCCTAAAAGCAATAGGCTATCATATAACCTAGGTGTGTAGATTATACCATCTAGGCTTGTATAAGTATACTCTCTGATGTTCCCACAAGCATGAAATCACCTAATGCATTTCTCAGAACATATCCCTGTCATTAAGCAACATATGACTGTATTTTGTAGGGTTCTGATTTTTATTGAACTGTCAATTCTTTCACATATTTTTAGTTATCTTTCCTTCTCATACACCTCACTAGACATTCCCAACTTCTGTTTAGACTTCCTACATAAAAGCTACCACTCCTATCACTTACCCTCAGCAAATGAACCCACCTCCTCATTCATGACAATCGTTCTTACAAACTTACCTATATTAATGACTTTTGTTTTGAGATAGGCTCTCCCTCTGTTGCCCAGGCTGGAGTGCAGTGGCACAATAACAGCTCACTGCAGGCTCTGACCTCCCGGTCTCAAGCAATCCTCTCACCTCAGCCTCCCGAGTAGCTGGGATGACAGGCAGGCACCACCATGCCTGGATAATTTTTTCTACTTTTTGTAGAGACGGGGGTCTCACTTATGTTGCCTAGGCTGGTCTCGAACTCCTGCGCTCAAGCGATCCTCCTGCTTCAGCTTTCCAAAGTGTTGGAATTATGGGTGTGAGCCCTGCGCCTTTATATCTTTAATTCTTTCATTCTGATCTTAGAAGATTTCTTTCCCCAACTCCAATATAAGGATAATACCTTAATTTATGCACGGTGAAAAGACCAAAAACAGGCAAGACTCATCAACTCATGTTCCTGCTCAGAGACCTTGTTCCAAAACTTATTTCCCACCTCACTTGGATATTCAACCTCACTCTCTTGGTTTCTGCCATTCAGCCAACAAATATATTCTAATGTCTTCCATTCTTTAAAAAAAAAAAAAAAAAATTCATATTTTACCCTTTCTATTCTCTCCCTTCCCTGCTTATGGAGCAGTCAATATTCCTACTTCCTTACTTTCCACTCATTTCATAACCCCATCTCCTAATGCTTTATGATTGTGCCTTTATCTGAAGCTATTACAAAAATTAACACAGTCATACTGTACTACACCAAACAAGCAGAAAAGGGAAATTTACAATTCCACAAATACTACCATTTTGTCTATGACTATGCCTACTGATGGAAATTTGAACTGCAAGAGAGGTGTAATTATGAAATTCTCCTTGGCTTTAAAGTGCAGAAAATTGGAAATCATAAATAGCAAGCTTCCTAAAATTTTCACAAGTTGGGCAGGGGATGAGTATCTTATATTTATGTGTGCAATTATATTGCTTTAAAAAGTTTCTCCAGCCCGGGCAATATATCAAGACCTCATCTATACAAAAAATTAGCTAGGCACGGGTGGCATGCACCTGTAGTCCCAGCTACTCAGGAGGCTGAGATGGAAAGACTGCTTAAGCCCAGCGGTTCAAGGTTGCAGTGAGCTATGATCACCACTGCACTCCAGCCTGGGCAACAGAGTAAGATCCTGTCTCCACAAAAAAAGTTTCTTATATGTATATGCTAATACAGTGTTCAAAAGGAAGAAAAGCCAGGTGCAGTGGCATATGCCTGTAGTCTCAGCTAATCAGTAGACTGAGGCAGGAGGATAGCTTGAGCCCAGAAGTTCAAGACCAGACTGGGCAAAATAGCAAGACCCCATCTATTTTTTTTTATTTTAATAAAAAGAATAATTTATTCTTTTATCTCCACTGAAGACTAGAATAGAGTCCTGGGACTGACTTTCACTCTACTTCTATAGAGGCTAATAAAAAAATTAGTGTTATAATATCTTTCATTAAAATAATCCACTATCTTAAGATAGATAGCTAAGTAAAAAAGCAAGGAACTCAGAAACTAAATATCAGGTTTGAGACTTTAATTACTTAACCTTCTCACCAATAAAGCAGGGTTATACTGTACTCTACTTCACAGTTTAATTCTGAAGATTAAACAAGATAACACATAAAACTACTTAACACAGTTACAGGCACATATTTAACACTTCCCTCATCTTAGCACAATGCCATACTCCCAATAAGAAGTAAAAGTGTAACAAAAAGGAGCAATATTAAAACTGTGAACTATGTGAAACAGAAATTCTGACAAAACCACCATCTGTTCATACTAATAATCTTCAAATGAAAAGCTTCAATTAGAAGTGAAAGTTACTAAAAAATATTCAAGTATTCTAAGCGAATTCAACTAGTAAATATACTTTGATGACATTCCCAATGATTTCCTCTGAGAGATTACATACGCGGTACAAGATTACATATGATTTAATAAAATGGACAGAGAGCACACACAAAGCTGCAGTTTCCCAGGCTGAGAAAGACACATCTAATTTGTCCTTCCTGGGGAGGAATGTATCTTAAATGAACAAAATTTCCTTAGATATACACAAAGGTAAATCAATGTATCAAAGGGATTAGGAATAAAGGGAGCTTTTTCTCTAAATCCAAAATAATAATATGCATGACCTAAATGAATCTTCTCCAAATATTTAGGGGGGAAACCCCACTTTAATTGTTAGAACTGGTGCAAAGCAGCTGGATTTAGTAGAATACAGTCCATCAACTGCTAATTCTGAAAAAAAAAAAAAAAAAAAAAAAAAAAAATTCTAGGGGTGGAGAAAGCAGGCAATCTTCCCCATAAAACAATTGCCATAAAACACCGTACATACATAAGAACATACACATTTGTTAAAATGTCAGTTTACACTGTTCCAGCCAACTTACAGATGAGGAAGTATTTAAGGTCAAAAAAATAAATTACATTCTACTTAGGAGTTATCGACGCAGATTCAAGACAAGGGGGGCTGAATAATAAATCCAGTGTTCACATTTAAATGTGGGGGAGAGAAAAAGGCAGGCTCTGAGTCCATAAAGTTCTCCACACTCTCAAAACACAGCAAAAATAGTCCACAACTAAGGACACTTACCCTTGAAACTCCTTGGAGAGTGGCTTGGGAGACTTTCTGTTCAGATTTTTGAGGGGGAGCGATTTAAGAATGCTGCAAGATTGCAACTTTCAAACACAGGAACACAATCTAAAGTATTTTTTTCTTTCAGTAAAGATCTCTCCCTGTCCTCTTCAAACAGTTGATCAGCACTCCCATTTTCACAAAATCCCTAATTCAACTTCAAGTACAGACCCCCTCCTCTCCCACAAAAAAACAAAGCTTTAAAGAACATGCAAATAAAACACACAGATCATTTCCAATAATCCCTAACTCCATCCCAATTGGGAAAGGAGAAACGAAGGAACACGAAGTAAAAACACCAAAACACTCGGGTAAGGAAGGCGGCGAGATGAGAAAGTAGGAAGGGGTCGGGGGAGGAGCACGGATAAAAGTCCAGCTGATGCTGACACTTAACTGGATGGAGAGGGTGGAAAATATCCTGAAGATACCGGCTAGAAGGAAAGGACTAGATGGGACAGGGGCGCGACAGAGGAAGTCCACGCAAAAGGCCTACCCAAGAGGGCCACTGTGTAGAAGGGAACACCAAAAGGGGACAAGATTCCTCAGGAAGATTTCAATGCCCCAAAGCTTAAGAGACGGCATGGGGAGATAGGGTGCTTCTCCATTGGCAACGAAGACACCACACCAGACGTTTCGGGAGGCAAGCCTGCTGCGAGGGGTGAGGGGTTAACTGCGGGGGTTCGCAGACGTGGAAGGGGGTGCGGCCCCCGGGGTTGCTGGAGGAGAGCAGAGAGGAGGCCCACGGCGCATACCTTGTAGTAAACATCAAACTGGATGTTCTCGGGCAAGGAGCGGATGTCTCGGCGGGAGCGGATGTAGTTGTCCACGACAGCGGAGATGGCGGTGTTATAGAGAGTCTCTGGGATCCACTCTAGTTCCACGGCCGCCATCTTCCTTCCCTCCTCCTCCGCCTCCTCCGCCTCCTCCTCCCGAAGGCCCGCACCTCCCTCCGTAGCGAACCCCTCTGCGGCCCCGGAGGATTCGGAGGGGCGGTGGCAGCCACGCGGGCGCACGGCAGGAGGCACGGCAGCCCTGCCTTCTCCGAGGGCAAACTGTGGGACGGCGGCAGCGGACGCAGGCCCGAGTAAAAAGTGGGACACAAAACACGGGCCAGGCAGGCCAAAGCCTCACATTCCGGGTTTGAGAGGAACCCGGGTTCCGTCCCAGCGCCGATCTCTGCAGGGGCGGGGCTGCGTGTGCGGCGTCATGACGTAAAAGCACGCCGACGCGCCGGAGGGGAGGAGTGCGGCAGGCGGAAAACTTAGGAAGAGCTGGATTCCTCCCACGGGGAGCGTGCTTTCCAAGCGGCCCCGGAGTGAAGTGGAGTGGAGTGGATAGGGGTAGACTTTTCACACGGGGTCAAATTATTACAGGATATCTGCACCCCCCATTCCGAATCACTCGGGCGCATCGGTTACTTCAGCAGGTTCTCTGCATCACGGACCCTTTTAAGGCTCAGGTAAAAGTTTGGATCCTCTCCCCACAAACAAGCAAAATTATCTGCACATTGAAAATTATGCATTGAGAAAATTCACATTACTCTAGAAATCCTTAGACTGCAGTTCCTAACCCAAGTTAAGAACCCGCGGTCCAGGAACTAGGGGTAACGATTAGAAGAGAGACTTGTTTTTCTTTGTATAACCGTTTGCATGCACCGTTTTAACTTTTTGACCGTGTTTCTTTATCCAAATAAAATTTCCGAAAAAAGAAAACTCCTGCCCTAGAACTTAGTAGGAAAACTAGCTTGATTATGGAATTACAAATAATAGTAAGAGAAAAAAGGCTAAGTGGTGGCCTTGATAGGACTTACTGGTGTTTCAATTCCCTTAGTTACAGTGGTGGCTTCAAGGGATTGTTGAATAATTGGGAGTACTTGTATCAACTTCTTTCCTTCCTCAGCCTGAACATCTGCTGTTTATGTAACTTAATTTCCTAAGTCTGCGATTTCAAGAATTTGATGCAACATCTTTCTGTTCTAGGAATTTAACATGGAAATTATTGGCCATAATGGTTGGTGACACTATCAAACTCATAGTCACTGTATAACGATGTGCGTCCTGAAAACAGGAATAATAATAATGTCCTGGTGGATATTTAGAGCTAAAAGAAGTGGAAAGAGTTCTTTCAGTTTACCCTTCACCTGCTACTTCGGGGTTAAGTGATTAAATAATTCCACAAAAAAAAAAATAAAGAAACACTCTTAATCTTCTTCAGTCTATATAAATTCTTATTCTATAATCTATGAACCTAGTAAAGCTGTGGATGGCCTCAAGATCAGATTGGCAGATTTAGCAAGTAAAAAAATACAAATGCCCAGTCACATCTTAATGTCATATAACCAACAAATGGTTTTGAAACGTAAGTATGTTCCGTGCAATAGTTTTGCTCATGCCTTCGGAGTCACTCAGGTGTATTAGTTCATTCAGCAAATCCTTCATCACTAAGTAGACACTGGTCCTTTTGAAGCTCAGGATCCCTGCCCCACATAAAAGAATAATTATCTATTATCTCTGCAAATATTGCAGGGAACATATTTATACTAAAAACTTATTTGTAACCAGCCTGGGCAACATAGCAAGCCCCCCATCTCTACAAAAAAATTTAAAAATAGCCACGTGTGGTGGTGTGCACCTGTAGTCCTAGCTACTCAGGAGGCTGAGACAGGAGGATTACTTGAGCCCAGGATGTTGAGGCTGCAGTGAGCCACCCTGTCTCAAAACACAACAACAACAAAAAACTTTGTTGTTCATCTGAAATTCACATTTAACTGAACATCTGTATTTTATCTAGCAATCCTACCTGAAGGGATCCATGAATCCCCTGAAATTGAATGCACATGTTCTTGGACATTTTGGCTAAATCAGGATCTGTACTAAGGTCCTGTAAACAGGTAAAGGTGTGTCAGACACACATATTGATTGCTATATGGACCTTAGATGCTGAGTATATTAGTCCATTTACACGCTGCTAATAAAGACATACCTGAGACTGGGCAATTTACAAAAGAAAGAGATTTATTGGGCTAACAGTTCCACACAGCTGAGGAGGCCTCACAATCATGGCGGAAGGCAAGGAGGAGCAAGTACACATCTTATGTGGATGGTAGCAGGCAAATAGAGACAAGCGAAAGGGGTTTCTCCTTATAAAACCGGCAGATCTCATGAGACTTACTACCACAAAACAGTATGGGAGAAACCACCCCCATGATTCAGTGATCTCCCACTGGGTCGCTACCACAACACGTGGGAATGATCAGAGTACACTTCAAGATGAGATTTGGGTGGGGACACAGAGCCAAACCGTATATCACTGAGTTAGACATTAAAAAATGTATGTAGTCACAAAGGGAACTCTGGATGAAAGGGCCTCTTAATCCCTTCTTCACTGCTTTCAGATTGAAAGTTATTCAGGTGTGTGTGATGGACTAGGAGGTCCTGACCAAGAGCAGATAAACTGCCAGAAAGGATAAGGCCCCTGAGAAGGACTTAGTCCTGGCAGTATTCATCACCTTCTAACTGAAGAGCCCTTGGGCCCTAAATAACCAGCAGATATACCCGGGTACTATGTTGAGGACCTTGGGTGAGCCTCTGAGACTTGTTGGCTTCAGGTGCCAGCATGGCCATAGAGGGGTAGAGCACCAAGTGGGCCTTTGGGGTTGGTTCCTGATTCCAGGACTGGACTCCTAAATGGCATTTCTGACCTGCCCTGGTCCAGAATAGAGCCCACTGCCCTGACGGGTGAGTCTCTGGCCAGACAGCATTCACCACACACTGACTTGAGAGCCCCTGGGCCTTAAGGAAACATCAGTGGTCGCCTGGCAGTACTCCCCGTGGCCTGTGGTGGTGTTGGCTACAGAGTGAGGCTAGTCTCCTTTTGGAAAGAAAAGGGAAGAGTAGGAAGGACTGTGTCTTATGGTTTGAGAGCCAGCTCAGCTGCAGTACAATAGAACACCACGTAGACTTCTGAGATTTTTTACTCTAGTCCATGACTCCTGGAGTATACTTCTGGACCTACCCAGGGCCTGGGGGAACTCGCCACCCTGAAGGGAAGGACACATACCTGGATAGCTTTGCCACCTGCTAATTGTAGAGCCCCAGGGCCTTCAGTGAACATAGGCAGTAGCCAGGGAGTGGTTACAGCAGGTCTTGGGTGAGACCCAGTGCTATGCTGGCTTCATCTCTAACGCAGTCCAGTCATAGTGGTGGTGGCCACAGGGGTACTTCTGTCACTCCACTCCCAACTTTATGTGGCTCAGAACAGAGAGAGAAATTCCATTTGTTTGGGAGAAAGTAAGGTAAGAGAACAAGAGTCTCTGCCCGGTAATCCAGAGAATTTCTCCCAGATGCTGTCCTTGACCATCAAGGTGGTACCTCTAAGAGTCTGTAAGAACTTCAAAGAACTACGGTGTTACTGGGTTTGGGGTAATCCCTCCCACAGCTCCAGGCAGCTCAGCACAGAGAGAGACTGTGTGTGTTTAAGGAATGTAAGGGAAGAGAACAAGAGTTTCTGCCTGTAATCCAGGGATTTTCCTTGGATCTCACCCAAGAACACCAAGGTGATACCTCTATAAGTCTGCAAGAACCATAGCATTACTGGGCTTGGGGTGCCTCCTAAAGCAGATACAGCTTAGATCACAGTAGTGAAGTCCTTTGAAATATCTGGAAAGTCTTCCCAAGAAGGACGAGTACAAACAAGCCCATACAGTGAAGACTCTGATAATATCCAACTCTTCAATGCCCAGACACTGAAGAACATCTATAGCATCAGCACCATCCAGGAAAACATGGCCTCACCAAATAAACTAAAGAAACTGGCCGGGCGCGGTGGCTCACACCTGTAATCCCAGCAGTTTGGGAGGTCAAGGTGGGCAGCTCACCCAAGGTCAGTAGTTTGAGACCAGTCTCAACATGGAGAAACCCCATCTCTACTAAAAATACAAAATTTGCCGGGTGTGGTGGTGCATGCCTGTAATCCCAGCTACTCGAGAAGCTGAGGCAGGAGAATTGTTTGAACCTGGGAGGTGGAGGTTGTGGTGAGCTGAGATCGCGCCATTGTGCTCCAGCCTGGGCAACGAGAGTGAAACTCCGTCTCAAAAAAAGAAAAAATAAAGAAACCACCAGAGACCAGTCCTAGAGAAACAGAACTATGAGACCTTTCAGACAGAGAATTCAAAATAGCCATGTTGAAGAAACTCAAATAAATTCAAGATAACAGAAAGAAGGAATTCAGAATTCTATCAGATAATTTAACAAATAAATTGAAATAATTAAAAAGAAGCAGAAATTCTGGAGCTGAAAAATGTAATTAGCATACTGAAGAAAGCATCTGAATCTTTTTTTTTCTTTTTTTTTTTTTTGAGGCAAGGCCACACTCTGTTACCCAGGCTGGAGTGCAGTGGCAGGATATCAGTTCACTACAGCCTCAGTCTCACAGGCTCAAGCAATCTTCCTGCCTCCGTTCCCTGAGTAGCTGAGACTACAGGTGTGTACCACCGTGCTCGGCTTGTATTTTTTTGTAGAGATAGAGTTTTTGCTATGTTTCCCAGGCTGGTCTTGAACTCCTGGGCTCAAGTGATCTATCTACTTCAGCCTCTCAAAGTTCTGGGATTATAGGTGTGAACCACCACACCTAGCCTCGAGTCTTTTAGTAGCAGAATTGTTCAAGCAGAAGAAAGAATTAGTGAGCTTGAAGACAGGCTATTTGAAAATACATGATCAGAGGAGACAAAAGAAAAAGGAATTAAAAATAATGAAACATGCCTACAAGATCTAGAAAATAGCCTCAAAAGGGCAAATCTAAGAGTTATTGACCTTACAGAGGAGGTAGAGAAAGAGATTGGGTAGAAAGTGTATTCAAAGGGATAATAACTGAGAACTTCCCAAACTTAGAGAAAGATACCAATATCCAAGTACATGAAGGTTATAGAACACCAAACAGATTTAACCCAAAGAAGACTATCTCAAAGCATTTAATAATCAAACTCTCAAAGGTTGTGGATAAATAAAGGTTTCCCTGGCAAAAGCTGAGGAATTTCAAATCAGACTTGTCCTTCAAGAAATGCTAAAGGGAGTACTTCAATGAGAAAGAAAAAGATATTAATGAGCAACAAATCATCTGAAGGTACAAAATCACTGGTAATAGTACATAAACAGAAAAACATAGAACATTATAACACTGTAAGTGTGGTATAGAAACTGGCGTAGAAAGACTAAATGATGGACCAATCAAAAATAGTAACTGTGACAACTTTAAAAGACATAGACTATATGATAAGATAGAAATAACAAAAAGTTAAAAAAACAGGGATGAAGTTAAAACATAGAGTTTTTATTAGTTTTTTTTTCTTGTTTATGTAAATGGTGTTAAATTTTTATCAGATTATAATAATGGGTTATAAGATCGTATTTGCAAGCCTCATGGTAGCCTCACACCAAAAAGCAAACAATGGATACACAAAAAATAAAAAGCAAGTAACTAAATAATATTGTCAGAGGAAATCACTTTCACTAGAGAAAAACACAGGGAGGAAACAAGACTACAAAGCAATTAGAAAACGAAGTGACAGGAATAAGTTCTTTTTTTTTTTTTTTTTTTTTTTTTTTGAGGCGGAGTTTCACTCTGTCGCCCAGGCTGGAGTGCAGTGGCCGGATCTCAGCTCACTGCAAGCTCCGCCTCCTGGGTTCACGCCATTCTCCTGCCTCAGCCTCCCGAGTAGCTGGGACTACAGGCGCCCGCCACCTCGCCCGGCTAGATTTTTGTATTTTTTTTAGTAGAGACGGGGTTTCACCGGGTTAGCCAGGATGGTCTTGATCTCCTGACCTCGTGATCCGCCCGTCTCGGCCTCCCAAAGTGCTGGGATTACAGGCTTGAGCCACCGCGCCCGGCCAGGAATAAGTTCTTATCAATAGTAATATCAAATGTAAATGGACTAAGCTCTTCAATAAAAAGACACAGAGTGGCTGAATGGGTGAAAAAACAAGACCCATTGATCTGTTGCCTACAAGAAACACACTACACCTATAAAGACACACATAAACTAAAAGAGTTGGAAAAAGATATTCCATGCCAATGGAAACCAAAAAAAGAGCAAGAGTAGTCAATGGGATATCATCTCACTCCAGTTAAAATGGCTTCTATCCAAAAGACAGACAATAACAAATGCTGGCAAGGATATAGAGAAAAGGGAACCCTCATACACTGTTGGTGGGA